TCTTCTGTAGGCCTTTCTGTACATGTGGACTCCTGTCAGAAATAATAGGCATAGGCACAAGTAGAAATCAATTAAAGCCATCAATTAAATTAAAGTACTTCCTCCAAAGGACAGTCATCTGAGAAGTTTTCTTCACTCTCCAGTGCAATGTGATTGATAACTCATGGCAAAATATTTTTTACATTAACATAAGTTTATCAGTTTTTACTTTCACAAGACAAAGCAATTTATCATTACTCAAGATTTAACAGTTGAAATGACTAAACCAGCCAATTTGGATTATAGGTCTACTTCATTTAATGCAGCAACAAATTATTTCACAGTGTACAAAGATAATTAAAATCTCATTTCCCAGTGATGAAGGTGTTGCTGCTACTGGTCCCTGATGTGGGTCTGGAAGAGCTGAACCCAGGGATGCCCTTCACAACAGGGCAATTCACATTCAACCCAAGGGTCAGCTCTTCTGCCAGGGTCAGGGGCATCATAATTTTTTTTTCTCAGCATTTTTCCTGTTTGGTTTTATAAACAGACAATCATTTTCAATTATTTAACAGTGCCTTTTTAAAAGAGACTAGTAGGTCTATAAGGCCTAAATTACCATTAAGTAGAATATTTTTGTACACTTTCACCATGTCCATTATTATAGTGTGGTGACTCGACATTACAATGAACAAAGCTAATTATGAAATTATGAAAATAAAAATAAAATAATAATAAGTTATTAAAACATCTAACATGGCCACCACAAACGCATTTAATTTGTCTTCTAGTTTTGCCAGCACTCTCTCCTGGCTTTTACACACTTTGAGGTGTTCCCTGGCGTTTTAATTAAAGACTGAAATTCGGCATAACCTTGCATTAAAAGCGCTTGCTCTGCTTGGGAGAAAAACTGGGCGTGTTCTTTGGCCATGCTGAACAGCCAATAGCAGCGTTGCTGATCACTGGTTCTGCTATTGATACATGTCCCCTTTTAAACCAACGTGAGAACGCGCAGTTATCTCAGATAACTCAATCCAGCGATACTAATCATCAACAACAGGTGTGTTCGAAGAACCCAATTAGCCGGATCATGATTAGCACGATGATATCATCTTAGATGTCTCATTTGATCTCGGATGTTTTAAGCAACGTGCGAAGAACGAGCCCCTGGTGTACTTTGATTGACTGCATGTACCTTGTGAAGTGAAAACAAGTGTTATTCTTTGACAGAATAATTTGATTTCGAGCCATATTTCCAGTGTTTTGGTAAAGTTAGTGTGTTCAGAGAAAGATGTGTTCTATTTTGAAATGAAGAGTTAGTTTATATTTAACAAAATCTGTTTTTGAGAAGAAAATTATCCATTTGGCCAATTGTGTTTTGTAGGTGTGAGTCTGTGTTAAGAGTTTAGAAAAAGTATCTGAAGTATGGGTAAGCACTTTTTAGCGATTGAAAAAAACTGTAAATACCAATGAAGTGGGGTCTATGTTTTTTTATCAGTTTATTTTGATAAACATAACATAATATTACATCGCGACTACATGAAAAGAGATTTTACTGTTATAAAAACAGATTTGTGAACATTAGTGGAACTGAAGGTGTTCGAATAAACACGGAACACATGTGATAGTTGTCATGTGGTGGAGCCGGCCAATCATGGAACTGTTGTGTCGTCATCAGAGCTTGTGCAGCCACTCTGGAGAAGCTGCGCAGAATGAATCAGCAGGCTGCTTTTGAATTGCTCTCGCTGATGGCATAGGTCAAGTAACATGGCATAGGCGCTGTCTCAAGTCGGACACAATTTATATCTGGCTTGCAATTTTTAATTGGTCTGCGCAGCACTGTATGAAGTCGATCAAGCCTATTGTATTTCAATATATCGTCGTCACGGTAAATTATTATGTTTATATGGGGGTTGCAGGTTGTCGAGTCCAGGGCCGTTTCAAGATATTTGGGGGCCCTAGGCAAAAGAGTGAAGTGAGGTCACAAGTCCTCCCTCAGGAAAATTGTTCAAATTCAGATGGGATTTCTTGTATTCTGGTGCATTTTAAGAGTCATGAATTACTACGCTACAAAAAGTGGCCACTATAAAGGTCACAGTGTCTTCAATGAGGCATTGTTGATGGGAATGACACATTTTGATTAATGTTTATTTTTTGTCAACAAGGCAAAAACAAGATAAAAAAAAAATTATTTATATTATTATTATTATTCTATTATCATTAGCATGGGAAAAAATCTCATGCGATCGATGTAATCTGGGCTCGTGCATCAAGAGGATTTAGCTCAAACTGGAAGTTTTCGAACGCTGTAGCAGGGTCATTCTATAGAAACGTCCACTTTTGGTATGGCAAGATGTCTTAAAATGTATTTCTTTTTCTAACATTTAAACTTACACCACATTATTAGATTATCCTTTGACTTTTTGAATATGCATAAATAACAGCATGATTTTTTATATTTTTTGTGCATTTATTTAAGGATCGCATGCACCATTTTTTTTTTTGTCACTGGTGTTACCTTACTACTTTGGCAATATTAAATGTTTTTATGAAATATTATTTCAATTTTTTTCAGCACATGTAGTCAGAGTTACCAAAAAATAATAATAATGCAACAAATAAGGAGATTATGTTTTATTTATTTTAATCAGGTTTGTTAAAAGTGTGCTTGAATGAGGTTAGTACATTTGCACAACCTTGTATTTGCTATATAACAATGAAAATATTTGAAAACCAGTTAAAACCAAGTAATGATGCAATCCTTTAAATCTTAACTTTTTAGTGTAGCAGAATTACATGGATGTAAATTTATTATCATGTCACATAGCCTATGGCATTGTATTTAATGTGACAGACAAAAGAAATAAGAAAAATAAAATATTTCCACTTGATGGCTCAAGAAGGTGTAATTTTTGGGTCAGGAGATTCTGGATCAGGGGGTTAAGCGATCAAAGCTTATTGCAACAGCTGATAGTCCATTTTGACAGTCTCTGTTTGACGATCTAGGAAGCTGTGCACCTCACGACTGGACGTAATCCATATCAAGCAGAATCTGTTTCATGCAGTCAGGTTGGTTAGACAGTTTGCAAGTGAAAGTCTTGTCTGCATGTCGTGGGTTGATGCAGGGTTCTGAGTGAATGTCGGGACCTTCCTGGTTAGCTTTGTTACATCCTTTTTGGAGCCATGCCGTGGTTTGGGGCAGTGGTTCCTTGGAAGGTTGAGGTCAGATTAAGCAGGGGGCTCTGTGGCATTCTGGCACACTTGTTGTGAGTGACTAATGCATGGCCCTAAAAGTTCAGAACTACTGCCTAATAGGTTAGTTAAGTATTTAGCATAAAGCTAAGTGTCTCTTGTGTCCTTATCTTAGCTGTGAATGTTAGGGCTAAGTTTTGTGTGGTTCCGAGAGTATTTCCTGGAAAGGACATCCGAGATGAAATAAATAACGTAAGGTGGTTCTTATGACTAAATTATTTCTCTGGACTTAGCTGGTGGTTCATTACGACTCGACGAATTGAACAATAATAGGAAAAGGACCGCTTTCTTATTTAAATTCTGCTTATTATCGATCCTCAGGACTCTAGTAGCTGCTTGCTATTACCCAGCCAACATTTGTATGTGGGGCCCATATGGGTATGAAATGGGCTGAAAAATGGGCCCCATGTAGGATTGTCCGCGGGTTACATAATGGCCCCATGTTAATTGCCCAGATAAATTTCATGTTGGATTGCACTTGGTACTACGCCGGACCCAAGTGGGCAACATGCACAAGACCCATCTCGGTCCCAGCTTTAACCCAGCCGATATTTATATGTGGGGCCCATGTGGGTTTGAAATGGGCTGAAAAATGGGCTTTGATTGGGATTGTCCGCGGGTTACATAATGGCCCCATGTTAATTGCCCAGATGAATTTCATGTAGGATTGCACTTGGTACTAGGCCGGACCCAAGTGGGCAACATGCACAAGACCCATCTCGGTCCCAGCTTTAACCCAGCCGATATTTATATGTGGGGCCCATGTGGGTTTGAAATGGGCTGAAAAATGGGCTTTGATTGGGATTGTCCGCGGGTTACATAATGGCCCCATGTTAATTGCCCAGATGAATTTCATGTAGGATTGCACTTGGTACTAGGCCGGACCCAAGTGGGCAACATGCACAAGACCCATCTCGGTCCCAGCTTTAACCCAGCCGATATTTATATGTGGGGCCCATGTGGGTTTGAAATGGGCTGAAAAATGGGCTTTGATTGGGATTGTCCGCGGGTTACATAATGGCCCCATGTTAATTGCCCAGATGAATTTCATGTAGGATTGCACTTGGTACTAGGCCGGACCCAAGTGGGCAACATGCACAAGACCCATCTCGGTCCCAGCTTTAACCCAGCCGATATTTATATGTGGGGCCCATGTGGGTTTGAAATGGGCTAAAAAATGGGCTTTGATTGGGATTGTCCACGGGTTACATAATGGCCCTATGTAAATTGCCCAGATGAATTTTATGTAGGATTACACTTGGTACTAGGCCGGACCCAAGTGGGCAACATGCACAAGACCCATCTCGGGCCCAGCTTTAACCCAGCCGACATTTGTATGTGGGTCCCATGTGGGTTTGAAATGAAAAGTGGGCTCTGTATGGGATTGTCCGTGGGTTCCATAATGGTGCCATGTAAATCGCCCAGGTGGGTTTCATGTAGGATCGCACTTATAAACAGGTGGGCCCCAACTGGGCCACATGCACAAGACCTATCTTGGTCCCAGCTTTAGTTTTTTGTGGGTACTACAAGGTTACTATATGGGCTGAAATATGGGCTTTAAGTGGGTTTGTCCATAGGTTCCATGCTGGCCCCAGCAACTTGCTGGATTTCAGGATTCAGGATTTCTTTTATACAGGATTTCACAGGGCTTTAGGTGGGGCCCAACTAGGAATCATATGCATGTGGCCCAATTAGGGATCATCTGGGCTCCATCTAAATGAGTAGCAACACCACACAAACAAGTTTTAAAGCATTAGAGCACACAGTGATATTGAAATATTTTCAATTTTATTAAAATTACTCATCATCATATTATGCTATATTCTGAAATTCCAGGGACAATATTTAAAGAAGCAGATTTATGTCAGATTAAAGAGTATCTATTTAATACCTATTTGTTAAAATACATATTTTGAACCTGTATTTGACCCAGTCTTTACTGAACATTTGAACAGGATATAAATTGGTGACAGTTAGAAGAAGCAGCAACTATACAGTACATTTATCAGTACAGCTTACACTGCAGACAGTCATTTGCGCATCTAGACACTCTCCTCCTCCATCTCTTGTCCTGGACTATTTTGAGAGTTCCCTCTCAGTTCCTTGCCAGTTGATCTGTGTTGTCTTCTTAAGAGCCTCTGCAAAACATTTATTTATTTTTTTTGGGATTTTGATTTTAGAAAAATCATGTTACTTACACGTCACAATACCTTATGACAGAATAACAATTTCTACTCAGGATAAAAAAAAACAGCAAAAAAAATATATAGGAATGGTGACGGTTTTGGAATGTCACTGGAAGGGCATTTAGGAAATCAATAAAAACAGTTTATAAAGTATGCATAATAAGTATAATGATTTATGATTACTTTTAAAGTAAAATTAGGAATGCTCCGATCAATCGGCCAGATATTAGGGTTAGGTTAACTAAGTAAGTAAGTAAAAGTTTATTTATATAGCACCTTTCACAGGTACAAGGCAACAAAGTGCCTTACAACAAAAACATTAATATCATAAAATACACACAATAAAAGCATAGACAGTACATGACCATATCATGTAACACAGGTACCTAATTAAAAGCCTGAACAAATAAATAAGACTTTAGTCTGCATTTGAAGGCATCAACAGAGTCAAAAGAGCGCATATACAGTGGGAGGGGGTTATTAAACGCCTTCTGAAGCAAAGCCATGAGTTTGTGTAAGAAAAATATTCGGTAACGCTTTAGATTACAGCCCGGAATGTACTATGTAATTAAGAGGAATTTACAGTGTAACTTTCTGCAATTATAGTGTACCTATAAAGGACTTGCATGTAAGTATATGGGTAAAGTTTTGGGAATAATGGGGTAACAACCAGGAGAATTAAAAATATATATTTATACTGTAAGTATTATAGAAATAAGGGTTACTTATTCTACTATTATGATACAACAGTCTTACATTTGGGAGCAATTTAGCGAGTACATACACTGCAAACCTTTTTGTAAAAATTGTGTATCAATACTGTATAGGCTTTTTTTAAAGGACAGGGTACATATATAGGCATTTATACAATTCTTTAATATTTTTAAAAAAAATTATAGCAAAAGTGCAGATGTTTAAGTTTTGGCTAACATGTTTCAAGGCAAGAAAAGCTAAGACTATTGCAATTTTTTTTAAATACTGGGACATATATTTTGTTTGATGTGGTTACAGGGTAAGTGGTGCTTGTATAATAAATAAAGGTTTCCAAGTCAGTGATATAAAACTGTGTATGTATTTTTATTGTACTTACCCTGTAACTACATGGAACAAGGGGTAACAAGCACCACCACATGAAACAAGTGTATCTTTCCCCAATATTTAAGCAAAAGTTGCAATAGTTTTTGTTTCAGTGCACTTATGTAAAAAAGATGACTTTATAAATGCATATGTACCCTGTAATTTTTTTTAAAAGCCTGTAATTTTAGAGTAGGTATTGGTTCACCTTTATTTCAAAAAGGTACGCAGTGTACAATTTTCTGGTGAAATTGCTCCCAAATGTAAGATTGTTATCACAATAGTAGGATAAACACCCTTTAGTCCTTTAATACTTACAGTATAAATAATTGTTTAATTCTCCTGGTTGTTACCTCCTTATTCCCCAAACTTAATATATTGTTCCTTTATACTTATATTGTAAGTATGTTATAGGTACACTATAATTACCAAAGGTTACGCTGTTAAATCGCTTTAATTACGCAGTACTTTCCAGGCTGTAATCTAAAGCATTATCAAATATTCATATTTAAAACTTTATTAAATAAAATAACCAGCTTCCGGCCAAGCGAACATACAGATTGCACTTAAGTGTAAAGTGCAACTTATGTGGTTTTAAGTTGATATTTACTCTACACCATTATGCACTACGCTACTTCTGACGTCACAAATTGACCTATGGCTAAGCCATTCAGTCAAACACGATGAGCAGTGCGCACCTAACCTAATACACTCGGACATTCTCTGCTTCCACGTCCATTGAAATGCATTGCAGTTAGTCAGTTTTCATTAGGTTTTTTTGTCATTTTAAGTTTAAAATGGTCAAACGGTGTGCATGGGGTACATACAACTCCGACACTAGGTTCCCGAGAGACTGGGCGACGGTGTGTATTTCTTTACCCTTTCCCAAGCCACTTCTCAACAGAGATAAGTGTCTGCTCTGGATTAAGTTATGCGATTAAGTCATGCGCCGCGGTAGACCACAACAACAACTAAAGTTAGCCTTCTAGCTGCTTTGTACATCATGTCACTTAGCTTAATTAACGTATCTGTAAATAACCGAGATAACAAATGTTAACAATGTTGTGCTGAATGATTCATGTAAATACTGTAGCACCAAACGGTGATGGCAACGATATGCGGTATATCACGTTTACATTGTGACCTGTAAATTACATTTTTGCCTGGAGCTGAAGCTTTTCATCGACCTTCTCAACAATAAAATTATTAATATAACCCTCCAATGCATAGTTAAGGCCCTTAAGGTGACTTTGAGATGATATATAATATTTCTGTCTCCAAAAATCACCAATTGCCTCCTGTAAAATGTCTGCCATAGCGCCTGTCCCCGAATGTTGACTGTTTGTCCAAGTGAGTGGAGGGGGCGTGGCTTAGCCACAGGTCAATTGCATAAGTTTGCAAGTAGGCTGCTTATGGCCATTTAGTTGGAAGCTAGTTGTTTTACTTTAAAAAGTTTAAATATGGATATTTTTCAAACAAAATTTTTGCTTCAGAAGGCCTTTATTAACCCCCTGGAGCCGTGTGGAGTTTATGATGGATGGATGCACTTTTTTGAGCTTTTTTAAACTAATAGTTGCAATCCACTGCCATTACGAAACTTGGAAGCGTCAGGGTGTTTATTAATAAAATTCTGATTGTATTTGTCTGAAAGAAGAACGTGGGCTAATATACACCAAAGGATGGCTTGAGGGTGAGTAAATCATGGGCTAAATACTCTAATTAAATTATGTAAAATCTAATTTTGAAAAATTTATTAAATTAAGTACAATCAAAACACCTCAACAAGGTTAATAAATCCATACCGGAAGTGACAGTACAATGTAGTAGATAAAGAGCAATCCTCCACCAAATTGCCAGTACTCATCTGGATCCTTGGTCAATCTGGGATGGGGTGGGGTGATGCGTCCTTAACAATATTAAAACAAAACGTATCAATATCGTACCAACATTTGCCATTATAAAACATTCAGAGAACATGAAAAATAGCCCAATAGCTCCCCGGTCTCCACTGTGTGTGTTTAATACTCACTGCTGTGTGTGTGTGTGTGTGCACTTGAATGGATGAAATGAAGAGCACAAATTCCGAGTTTGGGGACACATGTCACATCACATCAATTGAAGCTTTAAAAAAAGAAATTGCTACTCCAAAATCAAACAAACCATCAAACAATTTTACCTGTAGCCACATTTATCCTGTTATGACACGTCTGAGGGTCTTTCCCTTGATGTTCTTCCGTGAACTAAATAAAGGGCTCATGATGGTGACATGTTCTCCTTTCTTTGTCACTTTAGAGGAAGAAAGACATAAAGATAATTAGTTACTCAGATTTGTCACTGGTAGAGGATATGACTTTTGATGATGAGTATAATACTTTTGACAACATAATATATTAATCCCAATGTAAGGTTTAGAAGCAATGGTTAAAACTGACTTACATAATGAAGTTGATAATCATGCCGTGGTGGATTTGTCGCTCTGTTGGGTGCCTGCTCTCCCCCCAAAAATCTTCTTCCAGTGCTTGATATATAAAAATAATAAAAAAATAAACAAATCTCTTATCATTAGCAGTTATCAGTTTTATAAGAGGTGATGTCAAAATATTTAGAAACGGGCATCTACTAAAATATAAGAGATTTAACGTTAGACCAATAACATTTCTCAACTCTTCTGTAGATTCCAGTGTTTCAGAGAGTAAATGACCGTTTTATCAGTCAAATCATATTTATATAGCGCTTTTCACAATATATCAGTCACTTTACTCATTTGGATTCTACTTCCCTAGTAAATAAATAAATAACTTCTACCAGAATATATTAGAACACATTTCATACTAATTATACTTCAATTTCATTAACATAATTATTGACACATCACCTAAGAAGACTTTATTACACAATGAACATTTTATATATATATATATATATATATATATATATATATATATTACGACAAAAAAATAAAGTAATAACGTTACCACTATTAAGTGTACCAAAAGTATATTTGCAATAGTTCCACTTTAGCACAATCAAATACACTTACTCAGAAGCACTAACGTTGCTTTCAGATAAATAGTTATGTTAACGTTACAAACACAACTGCAGGTAACTTAGTAGCCTACGTCCGTTATCCGTTTATAAAAATCTCGTATGTAACGTTAACGTTAAGTTACACAGAACATTTCTGGGTAGTTAATGAACTCCATTCACATACGTTTTGTTTATCTGCATTATATATTCAACCATGAACTATATTAACACTCTCATCCACTTATTTGAATGTAATACCTAAACGTTTATATTAGTGGATCTCAGTTTTTCTAAAATGATAGTGGAGACAGAAAAATGTTCTCTTACCTGATCGCCAATATTTCAGGATCTCACGCATCCAGTCTGAGCGTCTTCTGTTCTGTGTGTTCACATCTTCTGTTCTCCTTCGTTTACATGTCACATCGCAAATTAGTTCAAAATAATAATTGAAAGACCGAGTAATCTTGCTAAGCAGCCGTCGTCATCAACTCAAATGTATTTGATTTTTCAAACTTGACCAGTAAAAAGGCGCGCACAGTTGTCATTGGCCAGTTACATAGATGACAGTCAGATTAACCAATCATGATCAAAGAAGGTGAAACAACCGAAGTTACGACGTCACTCTATAGGCCAAAACGCAGAAGTGAATTTGCATTTTAGCATTACAGTTCCCTCGCTCTAAAGTCTATGGGATTTTTGAATGGGTTTTTGCTAAATCTCCTGAAATAAGGTCTCTGGTGAACTATTTTCACGTTTTGATCTATGACATAGAACACACAATTATAACCTGCGTGTGTTTTTTTTTTAAACTTTATTGTGTCTGATTTTTAAAATCTTTATATATGCTTCAAAATATAAATTTTGGATTAACTTGTAAAGATTATCTTGCTAGACAAAACGTGTAAGGGTCACAACCCTCTGTTAAACACAGATCTTATTTTTTGCGATTTTCCAAAAGTCTATGGGGAAAATGCATTGCTTTTTTACCGAGGGAACCCATGCGCCGCTAGCTTCCGGGTTGTCCTACAAAGTGACGTCATCACTTCGGCACTCTATTGTTTCAGTGGTAATGATAAAAAAAAAAAAAAAGTGGTAATGATTTTTTTTTTTTTTAAGAAATCCGTGTTTAATTTAATTTGTAGGCTATATTATTTGATTACTGTTTTTATGAAAGTGTGTGAATAAAAATGTAATCCTGCAAGCTAAACTTTAGGCACACACACAAAATTGTAAACTCCAAACAAAATCGCACAAAGCAAAAAAAGTTTATTCTGCACTTGTTGAGATTGAAATTATATCCATTATTTTTATTATTGTTAATAATATACTGATTCTATTTCAACACAAATTTATATTTTTGAAGTGGTGTTTTGATCAAAATATCATAAAATGCTACAATAATAATTAGAAATTAATAATTAGAAATAATAATAATTTAAATGTTATGGATTTCTTGAAGACATGACATTGATTCAACAAACAGATAAAAAAAATTCAACTGTTTAGCATTAAAATGTTACATTGTGTACATTGTGTGCATTCTGTACTCGCTGCAAATGTGATCTTTGAATTTAGTTTTGATTTTCCCTTCAAACACTGCATGTTGCATTCTAACTTTTTTTACTTGGGCTATTTCATCATCTGGACTGAGTCTCTTTCAATAATCAAAACCCTAACCCTAACCCCAATATTTAAAATCTCTAGAATTACATTGTCACTAACTGACTGACCAGAAAACTCTTGAGTATTTCCATTGAATAAGGGCATTTGGCTGATGCTAGGGGTTTGATTTATTCTAGCCATCTCAAGTCATTAGAATATTTTGATAGATAAGTAGCTTCTGTAACCCGTTCTTCATATTGTACAGTGACCATTTTCTGGATATTTTGAACCATTTGTATAACTATATTGAGATAAGCATATTGCAGTAACTCAGAAGTTTGCAGTAACAAAATTAAACCACTAAAAGTTGACACTTTGAATATTTAGTGTCAATGATTAGGGTTGGAACTAATATCTGCTGAACGCCAACACTCCAGGACTGGATTTGAAGAGCCGTGGCCTATACTGTATCCACATACCAATACTATTGCCAACAGTATTGGGACACCCATCCAAGTTATTGAATGGGGGTGTTTCAATCACTTCCATGGCCACAGTTGTATAAAATCAAGCACCTAGGTATGCAGGTGCTTCTACAAACATGTGTAAAAACATAGGTTGCTTTCAGGAGCTCAGTGAATTCAAGCGTGGTACCATGATAGGTTTCCACCTGTGGAATAAGTCCATTTGTGAAATTTCCTCACTACTAAATATGGTCAACTGTTAGTGGTATTTTAACAAGGATTATACTGTAAATCATAAATATACTGTATATAAATGTTTTAATGATTGCACAGATATGTTTTTTTTACAAGTGTATAGTTTATGAAGTCATTTACAGATGCACAATTTATATTTATTCCATAGTTCATTATATTCACAATTATACTTGTATATATTTCCGCATTAAGGATCCATATAGAGATTACTTATGTGGAAACTACTTTGGGCCCATGTAGGCAGCCTTTATGGGACTGTTTGTGTTTGCCCATGTCTGACCCATGCGGTTTATCAAAATGGGCCCCATATATTTTTCACATTCAGAACCCATATAGAGATTACCTATGAGGGAACTACCTTGGGCCCATGTAGGCAGCCTAAATGGGACTGTTTGTGTTTGCCCATATCTGACCCATGCGGTTTATCAAAGTGGGCCCCATATGTTTTTCCCATTCAGAACCCATATAGAGATTACCTATGAGGGAACTACCTTGGGCCCATGTAGGCAGCCTAAATGGGACTGCTTGTGTTTGCCCATGTCTGACCCATGCGGTTTATCAAAATGGGCCCCGTATATTTTTCACATTCAGAACCCATATAGAGATTACTTATGAGGGAACTACCTTGTGGGCCCATGTAGGCAGCCTATATGGGACTGTTTGTGTTTGCCCATGTCTGACCCATGCGGTTTATCAAAATGGGCCCCATATATTTTTCACATTCAGAACCCATATAGAGATTACCTATGAGGGAACTACCTTGGGCCCATGTAGGCAGCCTATATGGGACTGTTTGTGTTTGCCCATATCTGACCCATGCGGTTTATCAAAGTGGGCCCCATGTGTTTTTCCCATTCAGAACCCATATAGAGATTGCCTATGAGGGAACTACCTTGGGCCCATGTAGGCAGCCTATGTGGGACTGTTTGTGTTTGCCCATGTCTGACCCATGCGGTTTATCAAAGTGGGCCCCATATGTTTTTCCCATTCAGAACCCAAATAGAGATTACCTATGAGGGAACTACCTTGGGCCCATGTAGGCAGCCTAAATGGGACTGTTTGTGTTTGCCCATGTCTGACCCATGCGGTTTATCAAAATGGGCCCCATATATTTTTCACATTCAGAACCCATATAGAGATTACTTATGAGGGAACTACCTTTGGGCCCATGTAGGCAGCCTATATGGGACTGTTTGTGTTTGCCCATGTCTGACCCATGCGGTTTATCAAAATGGGCCCCATATATTTTTCACATTCAGAACCCATATAGAGATTACCTATGAGGGAACTACCTTGGGCCCATGTAGGCAGCCTATATGGGACTGCTTGTGTTTGCCCATATCTGACCCATGCGGTTTATCAAAATGGGCCCCATATATTTTTCACATTCAGAACCCATATAGAGATTACTTATGAGGGAACTACCTTGAGCCCATGTAGGCAGCCTATATGGGACTGCTTGTGTTTGCCCATATCTGACCCATGCGGTTTATCAAAATGGGCCCCATATATTTTTCACATTCAGAACCCATATAGAGATTACCTATGAGGGAACTACCTTGGGCCCATGTAGGCAGCCTATATGGGACTGCTTGTGTTTGCCCATATCTGACCCATGCGGTTTATCAAAATGGGCCCCATATATTTTTCACATTCAGAACCCATATAGAGATTACTTATGAGGGAACTACCTTGAGCCCATGTAGGCAGCCTATATGGGACTGCTTGTGTTTGCCCATATCTGACCCATGCGGTTTATCAAAATGGGCCCCATATGTTTTTCACATTCAGAACCCATATAGAGATTACCTATGAGGGAACTACCTTGGGCCCATGTAGGCAGCCTATATGGGACTGCTTGTGTTTGCCCATATCTGACCCATGCGGTTTATCAAAATGGGCCCCATATATTTTTCACATTCAGAACCCATATAGAGATTACTTATGAGGGAACTACCTTGTGCCCATGTAGGCAGCCTATATGGGACTGTTTGTGTTTGCCCATGTCTGACCCATGCAGTTTATCAAAGTGGGCCCCATATGTTTTTCCCATTCAGAACCCATATAGAGATTACCTATGAGGGAACTACCTTGGGCCCATGTAGGCAGCCTAAATGGGACTGTTTGTGTTTGCCCATGTCTGACCCATGCGGTTTATCAAAGTGGGCCCCATATG